GGGTCATTCTGGCTTATCGTATTGATCCTAAAATATGTGAGAACATGTTTAAAGCGAAATTATGTTTGTTGTGAGACATTCGCTAGTGAGTTGTAAGTTTAATTTTATATTATTTTAATTCTATTATTTATTTTAAGACCTGTTTTTTACATTACGCACCCGAACAACAAACTCGATTGGTACGGCTTTTTTATTAGCCACTTTAACAACACTAGTTTATTTTTTACTACCATACTTTTTTTGTTTTTCATCTGTGAAAACACACTTCAAATCCATCCTCTATAAGTAAAACTTTAAACACGTTTTTCACTGTTACTTCGATGTCATAGAACGCTTTAATAAAAGTACTTGCTTTGAGGCTACTATAGTTTTTGGGGATCCTTTTTGAGGGATACAAGCAGCGGCCCTCTTTATCACCTTTACACAAAATAAAGGTCCTGACAAAATAAAAGTCCTGAATCTTCTAATATGACAACTCTTTCACAAAACCTGAATATATCTTCAGGTTTTGGAAGCGAAACAACTAGCGGGAAGATAAAGAGCAAATTAGAGCTATTTGGCGCCAAATTTGCGTTTCTTTTTTGCGCTCGAGTCTGTTTCTCTCGCAGTTGGCTTGAAATTGTTGATTTGACTAAAATGGATGACACCGCACTCAGTTCCGATGCGATTGTATCCGGCAGTGATATAGAAGATATTAATTTCTTTTTACGTGAGAAAACACTTGCTGATATGACGACGGGTCCAATTGAATCTGATCATGATCATCCAGTTTTGAGTCCTGAAGCATTGATAAAACAGATTCAAAATCATCTATCTCTATTAACAGAGTAAGCCACATTGGATGAAATCAACACTCAAGTGAACGAGATACTCATGGAAAACGTTCTTATGCCCATTGCTAGCCGTTACGGAGGAGCAATGAAAGAAATTAAAGCTATTTTGGAAAAACAACAACAACTACAAATAAAATTGAACGAAGATAAAAATGCCAATCGATCTATTTTTGAACAAACATTTGCCGATTCGGCTTCAGAGAACACAAATACTTTGTCCACCGAGGCTGAGTCCGATTGCGATGATGGCCATGGATCGAAAGTTGCCACATAGTAGCAACGAAAAGTTAAATTTCAAACTCAGCAATTATCTTATTTTGCCATACGATCGTTAACATCGATGTTATTAATTCTAATCAAATAAGCAGAAAAAAATGATCCAACAATTGTTCATCAAATATTGGACTTAACAAGTGAATTGTGCGAACAACTTCCGATGAGATGCTTATCACCATCTGAATTGTCACCGGCTAGCGACAGCTTATTGTTCAAATCATTGAAGCCACTGACAAACTACATTAATGATTTATCCTCGACAAAAGATCTAATTATAGCAAAACAAGCTGCAATAATTCTGTGGAGTTTCTCAATTGCTAAAGCCTCGTTCAAAGACATTTTACTCATACTGAGCAAACTGATATTCAATACAGTTGATATTTACAATGCACAAGGTCTATTCTTACAATTCAATAATGGTCTGACAGCAGCTATCAATGAATGGGAAAAACAAAAAGAGCAGCTATCCGACGAAACAGCAAGTGATTCCGATTACCAGTCTGATTCAAATCAAGACAAAGACGATGATATAACGTCGAAAGAAACCACAGGTTAAAACATCTTTCATCCACTAGCATATTTCGATAGGAACCATTGTATTTAAGAAAGGGTCACTGAGAAAACCAACAAAGCCGGTCGGACAACCATCTTTGAGTTTCAATTTGACTATATCAAAAGAAAGCCTGTTCTGTGATAGTACTAACCTGAAAATATCAGCTTCATCCATTGCTCCCATGAAGCCAGTGATTTTGTATATACTTTAATTCTACATCTGATGGTGGCATATGAAATAAGGTTGTATCTCTCAACAGAAAAAAAACTAGATAGGTTTGCAAAATAACTTGCTGTCTTTTAAGCTATGTAGATACCCGAATTTTACTTCTGAACATGATATAGGTGGAGACGCTACAAATAACATTTCTAGCCTGACTTTTATGGACTGAATCAGTTCGAGAGTTTCAAAACTGAAATTTGACAAAACTATTCGAATTTTTCCTGGCGGTAAGATTTTTTCGAATTACCCTATTTTGAAATTTTTCCCTTCAAAAAAAGTTCTTATTTTTGAGTATTGCTGTTTACAGAGGGCATTAAGTGAAAAAGTTCGTTTTGGAACAAGAATCTTCAATTTTCTTTTCAAATTAATGTTGGAGAAATGTTGACCCATTTTCTCACCCGCTCGGCGATAATAGCAATTCAATAATCGAAATTAAAACGCGTTATAAACAGGCTATTACCCGAAAGGAATTCTGGAATATACACAAACTGACTGCATCATATTCCCGAAGAAAAATCCGAGTAAAACATGGTGTAGTCAAGTCTGAAAAAAAAGAAGCTAGAGCTATTCACAAAGCGGAAATCGATAATGCATGACTTTCTTGAGGTATCTACATTGTTTTAGATATTTCTCCTCTGATGCACGTACTTCAAGCAAACAAGAAAGTCAAGCACATAGCTCAAGCGTTCAGCACGACTAAGAACTTCATGTGCATGAATACAAATCTATTAGTTTGCTACGGGGAGAGTGCGGAGCATGCTGCAAAAGAGAAACTGGGTTTCTGAATATTCCTCTTAAGATCATTCTGAATTTGAAAAAAAAGAAAACGTTATTTTTCAAAACGGAATAAGGTTCCGAAATGCGTCTAACACAATCGAAAAAGTCTTTTCTAAAACGTTAGAGAATTTTCTATCTTTCGAAAACCGAAGGGTTTTATAGGAAATAATTCAAATACCCGAAAATGTATTTTCGAAAACCGACAAACGAATGTCCTGATATGTTTTAGGTTTTGGAAAATGTTTGAGAAAAAAAGAGTTTTATATAATACCTTCTTCGGTATTGGAGGATACCGTTTCGGGTGTGAGAAAGTTTTTTGTTTTTTCCAAGGGTTTTCGAAGGTTCAAGTCCGCTACGTATATTCTCAAATACGGAAACGAGTTTTCGAGATCATTTCGAATACCGAAAACAGTTTTCGAAAGGGTTTTCGAAGCGTTTAGGGTTTTCTAGTATACGCTTTTTATTTACAGTGCAGGATGGTAGTGAGACCGCCAGTTAACCCAGCCACTGTCGTTATCATATAAATGATGTCGTGTTTGATAACAACAGTATACGTGCATTCGAGTGGACGACATTGCTCAAAATAACGCACTTTGTACAACACGAAGACATTTTTTCTCTACAAAACCTGTTATTTGAATCTTTCAGTTTTTTCTTTAAGTGTGGCACTTTCGAAAATAAATGGAAACATAGGTAATCTCGTGGCGGTATTTATTTTTCAAAACACTTGCAAAAACCTAGTAAAAATCTATATTAGGTGAAATAACCCATTTATACTTTGCTAGTATCGAATTTTTCTAGTTAAAAATGCATGAAAGATAGCGAAAATATGGATAAAATTTCAAGAACTGACTTTTTTTACTCCGTAGTCTTTTAAGAAAAAATTGGAGAAGGGGTAAGTGAACTAGCGTGAGTTTATGTGAACTTTAGTCTGACCTTAAATTTAGGATTACCTACGGTTGACCAATAACTAACTATGTTAGAAGAAAGAACATCATAGTAATTTCATACAACATTAACCGTTACAAATTCTTACAGCTCTTTAGATTCAATGAAATGTATTTCGATGTTTTACTTTGTATTTTATAACCAAAAATGTTGTCCTCACAGCTTTTGACTCGTTTCGTCATCTTTGTCCGATTACCTTAATGTAATATTTGATCATGTAATAAATATATAGTATTAAAGTTTCTCTACTCCATAAGATGATAATGATAATAGCCGTGGATGACTGGTAAAAAGTTATTCTTAAAAACTTGTTTACTTTATTTTTAGCTGAATGATATGAGTAGTAGCTAAGAACGAAAGTAAATATAAATCCGTTAGATACACCCTTTCAATCAAGGACTACACTGATTACTCAATGTCACTTATTTTAATATGCATCGTACAACATATCATACAAATTAATCTTTCGTACTAGTTGTCATCGTCTCGATGACCTTTGAGATGGTGGAGTGGAACTGATGACTTTTTTTGACTTTTTTCAAATGTGTATAACTGATACTAAAAATATATATGTAACGTAACAATGTATAAGAGGTATACGAACATTTGACCTATTCCGATGACAATATTAAACACATATGTTTTATTCTAAAGTTGAAAATAGTAATTTTTGTTTTATATAAAAATATAGGGTTCGTACCGTTACATTTTTTTCACTCTCTCTCTATTTATGCGTGAGTGTGAGAGGGTATATTAGTGATCGAACTGTATATAGTGATGATATATTGAACTTTGCTTATGATGTATATTAACATAAACTATGTTCAATATGATCAAGCAAAAGAAAAAAAGAGAGAGAGAACGAAGTTTAAAATAATCACTGTTGGCTATTATCATTTTTCTTGATAGGAAAACAATAATAATAACTTTTATTTAAAAAATTCACAGTATACGCAAATACACGTCACGTAAGTTTAATATTTTTTACTTTTAAAAAAAAAGTAAATCTTCTAATTGTATAAGTGATATGCATTTTAAAATAATGGTAAAATAGAGATCTTTACCATTAGAGTGAACTGGAATAATAGTGAAAATAAGGAATTATATTTGATGGATGTTTTTGTGGAAAAAGAGGGCTACTAATCAAAATTGAAAGCTACCTAGAGATTTAAATATTTTATTTATAGCGAAAACTGTACGTGTTAATCTTTTTTAATTAGAGAAATGTTTTTCTGTTGAGTAGGACAATTTTAAATTTCTTTTATAGTATTGAGACATTAAAAGTCACAATATTCTGTTTAGAAAATCGTTGATCATTATAATGGTTGTTCGTACAATCGGTATCGGTCGTATATTTTTGACTGTTTCCCTAGTCACTTATTTATTATCATTAGCATTGAATATTGTCTCATTTTCTACATCTGAATGGCTGGTCTATACCGATGTATCGATTAAAATTGGTCTGTGGAGAATATGTGATACAGCAACAGTTGGCTATGATAAATGTGCTGATTGGAATGATCGTACATATCCAACAAATTTATCAAATATTGCTTTTACTGGACCACCAGGTAAATGTGATAGTAAACTTTTTTCACTTGAAGGTGACTGTTATTACTGCTCGATTTAGATTATGTTAAAAGTTCTCAAGGTTTAGAAATTGTCGCATTTATATTTTACATGATCACTGGTGTTGTACTATTTTTGGCTTTTCTCAAATTTTCCATACCATTATTATTCCTTATTTCGGCTATATTAATGTTAATATCAGGTAACAAATACTTTATTTATTTTTAGAAAATTAATATCTTTGATTCGTGATCTGATGTATTCGTAACAATCTGTTTTTTTTCTTTAGCCATATTTCTAGCGGCTACACTCGGCATAATGTGTGACCAAGGTCGTACTCGTCATAATGGTTATTTACATTTTGCATGGTGGATCGGTTTAGTGGGAATGATTTTCACACTTTTATGCGGTCTATCTCTTTGTGCATTGTCTTTTTACATTCAACCTATTTCAAAACAGTAAGTTATGTGGCAAAAAACATTAATTTAAGATATTTCATTGGTTAATCAATCATTCTTATTTTAGATTAGCGTTTAATAAAATGACTGAAGCAGCATCAACAAATGGCATAGTAAATAATGGTATGAGTCATTATAGTCACTTAAATCCTCCATCTTATCAACAGCATCAACCACTACATCTACAACAATCTTCATCGTCCTCCTACAATCATGCGCCGGATACATTGAGTTACGGTCTAATGAACAACACCAGTGCAAATTCTTATCCAATGCTTCAACATCAACAACAGTATCTCGACGGACAACAACCGTCAACAAATTCCAATTATGCTGTATCAGCCTATAACCAACCACAGCCTCCTGTGGTAACAAAATTAGGAAGACAATATGTAGGAAATCAAATGTTTAATAATCAACAGCAGCCAGCAACGATTCTTGGAGAACCAATATTGGAAGATATTTCAAAATATATTGACTTGCAAGCTCAACGGGGTAATCAACTGCAAGGATATATTTAGGATACTCTGGATAAATCAGACAAACTTTTGATTAACAGTCGTGAAAACAGACATATTGTGTCGTTTTATATAATAATTTATTAACTAAAACTGAAAACATTTGAAAACAGCTTGTTGAAAACACTCTAAACTACACTTTTGCACAACGAATGTCTGACTTTGTTGACATACTGCTCTTAGTGAATTTTTTCGATAGATTTTCTTGACGTAAAGAAGCAGATACAAATATTACACAATGAACTTAAATGATCTAGAACTTTTACGTATTTACTTTTAAAGTAAATATGAATTTTCTTGCTTCGAAAACATAAGTTCACTGGCTCTATCATTTGTGTTTTGCTTTTAATCCAATCTTCTTCTTTCAATGTTAGTTTATCTTTGAATCGAGAGAAACTGTATCGACCGTAACAATACTATCAGAGAAAGGAGGTCATTTATTTTATGCAATTTAGCGTGAATAAAAACTCTGTAAGGTAGTTGATCATTCAATCTTGTATAGTGTCACAATGTTTAATAATAAAATAGTAAAGAAATCGTGTCAGATCTTTCTCCTAGGAGCTAAATTGTGACAATTAGGTAATTAGGTAATCACTATTTAAAATGAAATAAAAGATATTTAACAATACAAAAGTAAATAAGTTTTTTGTTTACGTTTATGTTCTTTTTATTAGTGGTGGTGGATAAAACAATACCTCATAGGTTTTTGGATATAAACCTCGACTTCCTCCAAATAATCCTTCATATTATTAAGAAGAGTTGTACAAAAGTCTCGCTTTTGCTCTCATACAGAAGATGCTGATGATTTAGCGGAAAAACTGAATTGTCTCTTATCAGCCATGTATAATTGGCCACGAAGAATTTACAATAGAAAAATGTCGACTCCAATAATTAGTAATACTGCTAACATTGGTGATCACAAAGTTATTGAAAAAACAATTAAACGTTTATTTTGAACCCAGACTGTGATCATTCATTCTACAACAATTTAATAAAAGCGTACGAACGTATTTGCGATCAATCGAATTCAATTGAAATTCCATTAACAAGTATTTAGAGTCCATATTCAACTGAGTTCAAAAGTGCCCCATTAACTACTTTATCAGCATCGATCACGTGTATGTAGGTAGCATTATGAATTATAATTTAGCGATGTGACAAACAGTCCCATATACAATCAGCTGCTCTAATCGGTATCTTCAGTGATATTTGCAACTATTTTATTATTAGTTAATATTAGACTAAATATTAGTTACTCGATTCTATTTTTTACCAATTTTGAATATATTTCAGTTCTTTGCAAATACATGCAGTTATCATCAATGTTGCAATGTTCATGATGTTAAATCCAATTCAATTTATCATCTAAAGTGGCTTATTTTACAGTGACGATTTAAGTTCAATATGGAAAGATATGTCGACGTAATAAAATTCTTTTGTTCACGGATTCACATTACGTTGATTATTGTTCACGGGTATACTTCTCTCTATCTAGAACAAATTTTTATTTTTTAGATAAGCATAGTGTATTATAAAGTGCGGTGTTATCTACAAAAGAAGATCCCTCCGAGATCTCTGCAACCTTTCGTTAAGGACGCACCTCTATTTTCTAAGATTCAAAAATTTTATTAAGATATTTGCACGATTTCTAACACATGAGAGTGTCCTTTTTTCGTTTTTGACTTTTTTTTCTCGCGTTACAGGGTTGTTAAAACCAAAAGCCTGACTCATCACGGAACTCTCCTCATTTGATTATAAATCGAGAAAGAGAAGTAAAAAACGAAAAAAAATACTTTGAGGTGTGAGAAATTGTTCAGATATCTGTAATAAAAGTTTTGAGCATGATCGGATAAAACTGTAGGAGAACTGTTAAAAACTCATAACCAAATGTTTATCAGATAATTTTGAGGAAAAATACATCGATTTTTTGTTTCGATGTTCTATCTCTGATACAAATTCGCGCTTAATCGAACCTTTGCTTCTACATTTACTATTAAGGAAGATTATTAAGAATATCGTCTGGATATAGAATGGCTAGTTCTAATAATGCTTATTCTCAAAAGGTTTGTGAGTATTTTTGTTGAAATATTTATTCGTAAAGATTCGTTTACCAGGATTTAGTTGACGCGTGAGACATACGTCTCATTCATATGAATAAAAAGTATCCGAACAATTTGTGTCGGCTGTAGAAGTCTTATTTAAGATCAATGATGTGACACTTATACAAAAACCTTCAATTGTTTGTAATTCAATGTTGTTACCTCTAAACTATCAGTTATCCTTTGGAAATATTTCAATCGTTTTGTACTATTCATTTTGTTCAACTGAAAATAAAACAGAGAACTACACTTTATAAAGAACATAATGAATTATATATATATATAATATTTACAGATATATTTTCGTACCGATTTCGCATCATTTTTATTCAGAACCAGAGTGCCACGTGTTAATAAAATATTTAGTCCATCTTCAAATTGAACATTGCCGTCGACACATTCTGCTACATCCATAACTCGATATGCGCTATTATTTTGATTCAATCGAGGCGCTAATTGTAAATAGTCATGTCGTCTAGATAGACAAGTTGACAAGATCAACCATTATACAGCAAGGTAACTGTTCCTACTTGTCATGTGTGCATAGGACAGCTAATATGATTAAACATAGCACGACTGCCACAATAATTGATACTGTTGGTAACCAATTATAGATTTTATGAAGATTTGGAAGACGAAGGCCAACTAGCGGCTCTTAATTAGCGAGAAATACTAGCTTTTAGCAAAATTATTGACAACAGGATCAATCCACGGAGTTTCAATACGTGTCAAAGTGCTTAGGCACATGTCTAGAAACTATACCATGTCCAAGATTTTTCTTAGTCTTCTTAATCGAAGGCATTTGTTCAGCTGATGGTTCTTCAATAGTTCTCATTGATCGTTTTTTACGCACATCCGAATTTTCTTTTGATTTGTCATTATTTGCAATGTGATTTTGTTTTGCTTCTGCTTTGACAATATTTCCACGATAAATCAATGTCCAATACGGTGCTAGACGTCGAACGATCGGCCGCATCATGGAGGTTGTGAAATGCTCCTTCGACAAGTTATTCTCTTTAAATATTGAAGTTTTCGGAGATAATCGCTGGTTCCAATCAATCTAAATGTGAACAGACAAGAATATTTTAATCTAAATTTGTCTGTTCACGTAGCATTTATAAATTATCATAATTCTTTAGTTCTCTCAATGAATCGCTCAGAAACGTGAAAAAATCTTCTTTCAACTTACAATAAATTGGACGTTCGATATTCTGTGTCTATTGTGTAATGGTTGTAAATGTTTTTGATAAAACTCGTCTGGTGATTCGGGTAAACCGAGAGCGTCTTGCATCAAATTATTTCTACCAAGTATAATCTCCTCGTCTTGTTTAACATTTGGATTATCTGCAGAAATGATATGATAATGATTATCGTCGTTGTTTGATTTTCTATCTAATATTTGATCAAAATCAGAAATAAGATGGTGGTCATTGTCCTTGACAAAAATGGAATTTAACAGTGTATGATCATCTATTCTATTCTTACATTGTTTTATTACTTGAAGAAATGGATTAAACTTGTGATCACCATCGGCTACGAACGTTGTTGACGTTATAACGAATTTTCGATATTTTTTTCGTTTTCTTTTTCCCTGTTTCTCATCAGCATTCGGATGCGCATTCGTCTCAACAATCCAAACTTTTCGTTCACGACGTGGATGTAGAGTGGTCACTCGAGCGGCGCGTGAGGCATGAAGTGTTCTATGAGAATGAGGATTTATATTCACTTCCAATGTTTTGACTAAAAACTGTTAGAACGGTTATCAGTTCTTGAAAGAATGATGTGTGCTTATTGTTATACAAGAACGTTTAGATTTTCTTCGTGAATGACACTTTGAGATCCCTCTAGAAGGCTGAACAACGTACCTCTTTCGTCGCTTGCATCGCTACAATCTTTATAGCCATCTAAATAGCGATGTTTCACAATACATTCACCAGATTCACAACGAAAGATATCTTCGTTTTTCGAACGACATACTAAACATAGCCAAATATACGATGACAAAGAGCAAGAATATCTATGTTTTCTTCTACTGATGCTAACATGAACACATGTAATAATCTTCGTCCTCTGATTTTGTACAATCACTTTTTCCATTACAAACTCTATTATTCTGTATACATCTCCCATCCCCACAACGAAATTCACTCCGATTTTGACAACCTAAAATATGAAGTAAAACATATAATCTCCAAGAAGATTATTTTTGGCAAAAGTATTGCTTGTGCATTGTTGCTCATCACTTCCATCTTTGCAATCTAATTTCCCATCACATACACGATATTGATAGATACACTCCCATGAATAAACACAACGAAAATGATTATAACGAGAATCACTACAGACTTAATAAGACGAAGAGTTAACAATGACAAAACACCAGATGTAACAGCTACTTACCATTACAATTATAACTTTCATCACTGCCATCATCACAATCTCTTTTTCCATCGCATCTCTTTTTTGCGCTAATACAAATACCTGTTTTACACATAAAATAATGGAAACCTTGACAATCTATGAGTTAATAAAAAAGATTTTACTGAATTTTAGATAAAATATTCGCAAATCACTCAGTCATGCTGTGAAGCTAGTTCACAGCGAATTTAGGTAAAATAAACACAGACAGCAGCGACTCATCAGCAAAATTTTGCATGGGTAATGATCGTTATAATCTAACGAAGTACTTTTCAGAAGTTATTAGAAACCTTGCTGCTATACTCACGTACAACATTTCCACTCATCACTTCCATCTCGACAATCTTTTTCACCGTTACAACGTTTTACCATTGATATGCACTCTTTTGATATTTGGCATTGATATTCCATTAACGGATCGTAACACTGAACATCTGTTAAAAGTAAAATTTCTCATTAATTCATGACTCAGTAAATGAATAATAACGTAATGGTAATGCAGTGATTTTTTGTTGATACCTTTTTTACAGTTCATTTCATCACTTCCATCATCGCATTCATTTCTACTATTGCATTTTCCTCGTTTTACAAAGCATTGTCCATTTGCACATGCGTCGAGTCCACGAAGCTGACAGTTATTCCATAATATTATTGATTGATTTTCTAATTTAACAGCAAACACACGACCTGAACAAAAGCTTAACAAACTATAAGTTATTAATTGGAGAATAGTATCGGTATATTCTATGATCATGATTCTTTTAGCCAATAAAGGAAAGAAAAATTCAAATTTTTAAGCTAAATATTTGCGGCGCCAAATTAACTGAAGGTGACTCCATAGTGTCCGTACCACATCTACATTGACTTCTGTCGTGTAAGCTGAAAATTCGAATTGAACAAAAAATCTATTGATCAGATCTATAAGTCTTACATCAAAATCGCTCAGAAATATTACCATCATCAGAAGCCATTCATGAATATTTTTGATTTTTTATGTTTAGAAGAACTAGAATCCATAAATTTTCTCATATAAAAAGTAAATATATATCTCCAACTGGTCAAGGAGCTTACGTAACAAAAAGACAGAGTTCTTTTCAGATATGGTTGGAAAAATTCCGAATCACTTTGCGTATTCAAGAGACTATATCTAGCAATTGTTTTTTCAAGCCTTTTTTCAGATATTATAAGATTATCAAAACAAAAGAAAAAGTCAGAAAAAATGTTAATAATTAATATTGATAATTAAAATCAGTTTTCTCCGTTCTATTCAATGATGCAAAAATCAATGGAATTACTTTTTAAATGAAAATACAGTAATCTGAATATAGGACAAATTCTTAGCATTTTTTGCAATTCTGACATCTTTTTTTCTCCCTTATCCACTTAAAAGGGATAATTTTAGCCAATAATATCTATATTGAGAGAAACTTCTAGTAAAAAATCTTTCAACTACTTTTTATTCTGAAAGTACTGATACGTACATAGAGCTACAACATACGAGAGTCTGATGTTTTAATTTCGATCTGGTTTTAATAAAGAAAATAATTTTTGGTAAGACTCAATCGGTGCAGGCATATATCAGAATTAGGTTTCGCTAATATAGGATTTCGTTGAAATGATACTGAAATTTGTTTGATTTATAACTTCCTGAGTAAAACTAATTCTGGTATGTTTGAACAATCTCCTAAATGCAACAAGTCGAACCCATGCAATCTATCGAAAGTGTTCATTATAGATGTGCAAACTGGCGTCTCAATGATTTTTCTACAATTTTTAATATCCGATACCTCTACTAAGTGGAATTAAGGCTTTTTAAAATTCAATCAGTCATATTTTTGGATAAACAGGATACTTCCGGGTTTTTAAAATTTCAAGGAACTAACTTATTATTATAAGGTAAAGTAGAAATTAATAAGGCGCATTTTTCAGTTTCTTTTCTATATTATGGTAGTCTAGCACAAATACTCAAGCTTTTCTATTTTTTCTTTTAGCCGTTTTTACACGTGCAATTTTCCTCCGAAATATTCGATATTTCATAATGTATTTATATACTATACTTTAAGCCACGAAAGAAGTACACAAACTCTTCGATCAAACGAGTAAAATGCATAAGAAAAAATGTCCTTTAGACGCTTAAAAAATCTAATACTACAAAGTAATATTATGAAATTAGACCACAAGTTATTAACGAATGTCTCTTTCAAGTCCCATCAAAATATGCAATAAATATCATCCTTTGTTAAGCCAAAAGAAGTTGAAATAGCACATTTTCTAGCCTTTCAAAAACTCAAAACAAAGTGAACTACTCTTCACTCCATGGCTTTAGACAACTACGTCTGCTTGTGTTCGTCGGTTCTACAAAATGTGTGCAATCTTGTTTAAAGCTATTTTGATAGAGATATAGTATTTTTTTTATCGATCACGATATTTTTTCAGTTTTTTGGAATGATTTTTCGTCTTCTCTTACTCACATAAGATACCGAAAACAGATACAAGTGTATAATTATGTCATGCATCCAATGGTGAAAGGCATTTTCCAGAAAAGTAGAAGAATACTGGAATGTCATGTTGGTACGATCTGGCTCCTGATCTGTCAAACCAAAGTAGCTTTTTTCGGAACCTTGAAGGTTAGTTTATGGCTTACAAGCTATTTTTATTAGAAAAGCCAGCGAATAGAGTGTAAAAAGACGCTGAATAAACGAAGGGATTCAGCAACGTCTGATAATCACAACAATTGATTATTTTCGAGTTTTTTCAAAAACCCTAGACCAAAGATCAATTAAATAGATAAAAATTCTAAAATCCGAAGAAAAAGCGATTGTTGACTTGGTGAGATTCCTTCGTTAAACGAAACTATTAACAGTACCATTCTTTTCTGCATCGAAAACACTTAGATTTATAAAAAAATAAATACAAAAAAAAAGTTAAAATGCAATATCTGGGATATTTATGTTTCATCATATTTGTGAAATATCGACTTTTTAAGATTAGCTAATCGAGCTGTTGTATGAGGAATAATCAACTCGGGATCTTCGGGTGTTATAGCTATGTTAGATGTATAAAAATTTTTTACATTTTCATCTAATAAAAGTTTTGATTTATTCACCACTGGAATTTGTAACAAATGTTTATTTGACTCTTGTAAATGTTTAATCCAACAATTGAGTCCTGCTTCACTTTGTGTACCCAAAATACAAATACTCAGTATAAAACCATCATCCATTTCATGAACGGAAGGTGGAATGGAAACAGTTGACTCTGGTTCAAACGGTGAACGTAAATTATTAACTAGAAAAGAGGAAAATAAATACAAACAAATTTAAGCAAAGTTTGAATGTATAACAAGTTAAATATTGGAACTAATTGATGAAAACATATCAAGATCTGAACAATACAACTAATATTCTTCATGTACTTATTGATGAGACATGAATAAATCCCAACAAAAATCCGTCACATACCATCATCAGTATCAAATTTTTCAAATTTTTCTTTTCTTTGTCTGTAATCTTCTGTAGCATCTGCACGTAATATTAAATATTGTACAGACTTTTTCCTAATGTAAACTGTAAATGGTCCTTCAATACTCAGTGATTGTTGAGCTTCTTCTAATTTAAGAAGTAATTTATTCTGTGATGGACTGGAAGTATACATCAGCCAACTTTGCTCATCTAAATCAAACATATAAAGGTGTAAAATTAGATTAAGTAATAAAAAATAAATCTGGTAAGACAAACAAACGAAGAAAGATTGAATAAAACAAGATAAAAAGTGGAAAACAAAATAGTTGAGGATAAATATAAGCAGCATTATCTTATTTTCATTAACAAATAGCTCTTGACAACCTTTTTCTTCTTCTGTTCTTTCTCTCAATTGACATTTCTCTTCGATTCTCGCTCTAGTACTCGTTTTCATTCATTATTTTTTAATTGAAAATTTATCTTACCCACCTACAGCGACGTCTGTATCGATTGATATTGTATGAGTGTCAATAATTTGTGTTTCTACATCAACACTCTCGGTCATTCTTTTAAGCACCAATCTTGCTATTTCACGATCATTATTTGGCAATTGCCATGGCATAGGATAAGGATTTTTATGCATAAATTTTGGTGCCCAATATAAATAACGTGCAAATTTTCGTACAGGATGAGCCCATGGACCAAATATTTCTCGTAACATATCAACAACTTCCAAATCGGGATGTATACCATAATCTTCCATTTGTGATAAAATCGCATTAGCTGTCTCGTTTTGCTTTGGCCAAAATCGAACACTAACCTGCAAGTTTGATGTATGACGATAGGGACCTAAAATGATTGAATATCTCTAACATTTCATTCAAAAGTTGTTTTGTCAATACATACCCACAGGAAAAACTGTCAATAATTTTTTATATGCCTCGACGTCTGTTTCAACTTTGAAATCTTTCATCCGTTTCATAGCTGCACGAATAAACTCGACATGACCACGACGATTTGGAAATTGAATTTTATAAGCATCAACAACATCCTAAAAGAAAAGAAGGATCACTAGTTAGAAATGAAAAATATCTAAAACAGTGACCATTCATGAATTTTCTAATGATAGGATAAAATCGTTTTTTTTAAAACCTTTTTCTTTTGAGAAAAATGATAATACTTATACGTACGAAAAAAGCTTGCCTATTTTTGTGTAGTGTTTGACTATCGAATTGATTTGTGTGAAATGCAATTTGGTTCGATGATATATATGGTCCGATCATGTTTTCAATTCGGTCTCTGTCATCGGTATGTTTATTATTATGTCGCTCATATTCATTCTCTTTATCTTTATCGGATGTCTGATTAGTTTGAATCAAACGCTTAGACTGGTTGACAAACTGAAAAGAAACAAAATAAATAAACAAAAGAGTGCAGCTGTGCTGAGAAGAATTAAATACGAACCACTTTCAAAGATTTTTCAGTCGATGCGGAAAATAGATGAGACAAAAGTCTTACACGATATAACGACGATCCATTCATTTCTAAAATCTAAAAGTAAATCATATCATAGATAAACGTCCAACAATCTGGGGCAGCGTTTCTAATAACATTTTGTCATTAGTAGTACCGATACATTCTATTCTTTTGGTACACGATCCAAAAAAAGCGCGCAGTAGTCAAACATGAGAGTCTTGAAGATCTGTCTCCTATGAGTTTCTTTCAAATAACTACGATTTTTACAATTAATTACAGATTCTACACAGACAAAATACACAATTCTAAGCATGTTCATTGTACACCGAACGATTTGAAATTATAGACGAGATCAAAAACAAAACAAGTTACACGTAATCTGTATTCACTAATCATTTCTCCTCTCCAACTCTCCATCTTTTCTCATATTGTTAACCCAGAGTCTCTAATGTAACAAACTGTAAATCTAAATTCCAAAGTGCACACGACATAATTTGCCTTTTCCTGACGGATGAAAAGACTATATTTTCAAAAATTAGATTGTACGTACAACTTGTTTCCACGAATATAATTTGTGAATTGAAACTTTGATCTGAGAAGCATGTTTAAAATGTTATAACAGCATCGATTAACAGAGCCATTTCTTTAAATATTTTCAGGAATTTTAACGATATTAAAAAGTTCATTTTCCGTTCATAGTTCACTTTAACTCCGTGTATTTCGAGAAAGGATTTTATAGTCACTAATCAATACAACTGAATATCAGAAGTAATAAAATATCCAGTTTTGTAGCTATATTTCTTATAACATTGATTCGTTATCGAAATTGGCGAATCAAAATATAGTATCTATTCCGCTATGCATGAATTCATACCACTTTTTAGCTATCCCGTAAAACTTGAGATCGAAAAAGTGAGCTGATTGTCAATTAAGGTTCTAATTTAATCTACTTTTTCTTTGAATTTTAATGCACGAAAGGCCGTTCAAAAACAACAGTATTCATATTCTCTATAGGAAACGACGAAAAAAAACTTTCTTTATTCACTTTCTACTTATATATGATAGAGTTCACGGTTCTGAACAATTGTGCTGTTTAGGATGGTATGAAATACGGTTTCTAAAAGACAGTAGAAGTTGTTTTCGGTCCATCCCGTGCGATTTGCGCGGACTGTCCGGAATGGCCCATTATCGAGAAATATGAATAGCTGATTGTCTATAACTACCGCGGTTTCATTCTAACCGTCAGTTTTTCTGTAGCTGGGTAAACACGCTTTCTAAGTTCACGCCAGAGGTGTGCACAGGACACTTATTTTCGACCTGTTTTGCCCTGCCGCCCTGGGCAGTCCTGTCCTGTCTAAAGAATGCTTCATAAAAAAGTTTCCTTCGAGTGCGGTTCCGATTCTCCAGTTAAACCTGAAACGAACAGGACCACGGTCACCGCTTCTTGATTTCTAGGAGGGATTCTTTCAAAGGATGACAAGCAAATATCTCTTTTTGTAGCTTTCTCAATAGTGTATTTTGAGTTGTTAAAAGAAATACACGTAAAAATGTCTCAGTTCTGAAAAAAAGGAATCTCTAAGAAACTGCGATTCTGGTTACATTGTGAGAACCAGCACCGCGATTTCGATTCCTGATGATAATCGGAAATAAGAGAACCGAACATCCCTAATGGTCAGACAATGGTTACATTCCCTATCTGGGAAACATCTGATTTTCGTCTTGCAGGACAAAGCTTCCTGCCCTGTCCTATCCGGCAGGGCGGAGCAGGAAGACATTTTTTTACGAATCATTCTTTAGACAGGACATAATTACCCCAAACAAGAAAAATAAAAAAAACGATTGTGTTCGTTTATTTTCGCAATTTCTAATTAATTAATCACGAATACGTCTAAAGTACTACATCGTAATCTTGAATTATTTTCAGTTTTATAGAAAATCGACTATAAAATCCCTGAGGATTTTCAAATTCATAGAAAATCCTCACCGATTTTTCAACTTTATAGAAAATGTTGATTTCCAAGATTCTTGACAAACGACTGGATTTTCTAGAATCTTAAAAATCATGGAGGATTTTCAGATTTATAGAAAATCAATGGATTTTCTATAAATAATTGCCACGATTGATGTCGCTGTAACCGACGAATCAGAAGCAAGATGCGTTCATGAAAGTGGCAGTTCTATAGCTATTGTCACAGCCATGGCAGAACTGACTAGCGGGAAAGGGTGAAGTTAAGTCATCACCACATTTTGGTGATAGCTTATTGTTCGAGGTAACACCAAAAATTGAAAGGCGATAATGGCTGCTGTAGTTACCGAACGTTACTGAAATTTTAAAAAGTGAGATTTGAACAGTTTTAAAGAGTTTTAAACTGAATCTCAAGTTAAAAGGGGTTTTAAGGCTCCGAAAACTAGTTTTAGCGCATAAAAAGCAGCGTGTAGAGGCTCATTGACAATTTTTGATCGGCAAAGTCATCCTATAACTCCTTACTTGCATGAAATGCGCGATCTTATCAGTTAAAGATCGTCGATCGAAAAGAAGAGAGAAGGTTGATATGTCTCATACCGTTTTTTTAAATTTTTTATTTTCACTCTTTCATTAGTCAGAACAGTAGTTATAGTTTAATTCTTAAAATTTTGGTACGAATTATAGTTATAGTTTTCATCACACTCAACGATAAACAGTAATACGAAAAAAAGATTTGTTTTAGGGTATTGTTGGTTTATGTGTTCTAATCGATCAAAGTCATAGCATTATTACAGTTTTTTCTTTCATGAAAACGTTTTTCACTTTTCTGTATATAGCAAAAGTTTTGTGAAATATATTTATGAAAATGTAGTACATCACACTTAACTGTTTTTTGGTCTTTATCAGACAATTTTATGCGTTAAAAAACTGTATTGTGAAATATATACCCAATCAAGATGAATGAGTAAACCATATTTACATGTTTAATATCAGTAACATCGTTTAAATAGATCATCGAGTATGTTTCTAAGTTTTTGCAGTTGAACTTGTTCACTGGCAACAGTAGTTTATTGACCATAATCCTAGAAATATAAAACAACATGGAAATAAATATATTGCATGTTTATTACTATCAGTTGACACTGCTATGGTTGTTGTACTAATAATATTTGAGGTTTTTTGTTTGTCGTTGTTCTTGTTATGGCCCTTCAATTAATGATCAAGATCGTTGATGGAGTCTAGACAATGAGTAGTTAATGCCACATAGTAGACATTTTTGGCTTAGTGGGTGGATATTTTATTCTTTTCTTGTTAAAAAAGATTACTTTTGTTTGGTTTGACTACGTATATCTCAAAATGTCTATTTCAGCAAGAATAGCTGAGACCTCAGAATAGATTAGCCAATATGAAAAATCACTTTACAAACACTTTTACGTTTTGGCAAAATGTCCATCTGGATCTCCGCTGTATATTGTAAACCAGAAAAGAAGTGAATTTTTCTCACAGTTTTATGATTCTTTCTTTCTTAAAAATACTAGAACGTTGAGCATCAATATAACTTGAATCAGATTTTCTACACAACAATGTGTTTAGCTATCGGGAAACTAGATTTATCTCTGTTCGAACGATGTCGAGTAATTCTCTATGAAATTTTTGTCAAACTAGAATCTAGCATCACTTTTATGATAGATACGATACTGATCTCGGAAAAATCTTTGTTTCAGCGAATGTATTATTTTCAAATTAAAATTCTCTGATAGATCCACTTATTAGAAATCTAACAACAATCTAACATCTTCAAATCTAACATTTTTATGAGCTTTTATCCTGGTCCTCGACCTTTATTTTATTATAAATTAAAATGGATATTGTCTTCGAAATCGTTTTATTGACACAAAAATTAAAAATATCTTTTTACCGCTTTCCGCTTTTTAAAACAAGGTCAACACAAACTTACTCAAAATTCAATCAGGAATCAAACAGGTAATGAAAAGCACATTAAAACTTGCATTTAAAGCGAGAAAGGAATGTGCCATTTTTCAGCAGAAAAGTTACAGCCGCTGTAGCATGACGCTCATCGCCATTTTTGCATCAAACAACTTAGTTACTTGTACAAAAACACTTTAAACTGAGCCTTGAATTTAATCCGCTATTCAAAATTAAGTATAATTTAAGCTTACGTCAAAACATGCATCTGTAGAGGCCAAAACACCACAAAATAAAATGGCTATTGAATTTGGTGATGACGTTTTTGGTGATGATTTATCTTCACCGCGGGAAAGAGCAAAGAGATGGATCTGCTGACAAGTCTGAACTCGCAGGAAAATGATTTAGGACACTGGTTTAGGCAGCGAGATTCGCTCTCAAAGGGAGCTCACTCCTCTTAAGTTGACCGGTCTGAGAAAATCACCGCAGAGTTGAAGATCGTTTGTTTTGGACCTGAATTCGTATTTTTTAGATTTCGTTTAAGTAGAGCTGCCTCCTGTTCCCACTGTGCGTGATCACTTTTACTCGCGAATGGAGGCTTGCTTTTTTAGTTTAACGACTGAAGATTGTTTCTCGCCCGATATTTCTGCATAGTTTTTTCCTGTATGTGTCTTTGTTTGCTGCTGCGGTTTCGTTATCGTACATCTGCTCAATGATTTACAACTCCGCACTTTCATCAGATTTTGAAAGATGTTACTTCTCGGAAGTAGTTTGATCAAAAACATTGCAGCAAGCGACTTTCAGACATAACTCGCTCTGGCTCCTAATCCAGATTTTTCTGTTTCGCTATTTAGTATCTTCCAAAAATTTAAGGCAATTTAACAACAAGAAAGCAAAAAACAAAATTTAAGACAAGAAAACAACAGACTGTTTCTTTCTTAATGATTTTTAATTACATTTTTACTGTTTCTCAATAATATTTAACGGCTGAATTTCTCTGTAAAAATTCGTTCTGTTTATACAACAGATTTGTGACAGCTGTGCTAAACTCTGACGCAAGGAAGAAGTGCACTACTTTTTGAAAGTTATTATAGAAAATCCATGTTGGTTCCAAAATCGGCGTCGATTTTCTATAGGACTGTCCAGAATTATCTCAACGAGACACACTGACTGT